GTTGCTGTCCTTTTGTTCTTCAGTCTAGTTGTGGAGGACATTGCTTCACTGGCCCATGTTGGTATTATCATTACACTCTTCCCCGGTGAGGCAGTCGCTCGTCGGCCATTGGACGGCCGCTCCCGGTGGCTCACGGCAGCTCACGAAAGCTCACGCCAGTTGCCAGCCAGCCCCACTGCAGCCTACGCCATTGCTGGTGATTCACGGCAGCCCAGCCCCAGGTCGAGCTGTTGTTCACCATTTTAGCTGTAGAGGGCTCAGCATCACTGGCGCTCACGTGGGATCTGAACCGGGGCCCTGCTGCTCAGAGCTGGTGTCCCAAGCCAACTCCTAACCAGCGTGCCACTCGGCTGGCCCAGAGAGGTTAGATCTTTTGTCCAAACAAGGCCATACAGCTCATTAATGAGAGATCCCATGGTTTCCCACTGTGTGGTGCCGCTTTAGATACATAACATGTTACAGTGTTTATTTCCATCCCTATGTTAAGTGCTCATTCATGAGCCTGAGGAGTAGCAGTTGCTTGATCCTTAGAGCATAAATACTTAAGCCTCTAAACTGAAAATTGAAAGGGAAATAAACCCTGATCACAGACTCCATATTTTAAATGCTTATAAACTATCTCCTTTCTGACTCTCTTTTTAGACACCAATAGTGTTACTTAAAACAGACTCCCTGAGCAGCATTTTTCATGAATACAAGCAGTTGCTGCAAGGGAGATCTAATTTCCAATTAACTCAGCTTCTGGTCCATGTGGAACTCCGGTTTACACTGCTCCTGGCTGAGTTCTCTCTTAGCCACCAAGTGTCTTATAATTGGCTTCAGGCATAATGATTATGAAGGGATGATTGTTAGGTGTCTCAGGCCTACAGTTTTTGTTCAGTTGAGATCTGACTCTGATCCTGAATTCTGAATAATGGGGGAAAGTGGACGTGAGCATGAATGTAGCGATTAATAAAGTTGCTATTGATGGCTGTGGATCACAACCTGAATGTCTAATTTGTGTTCTATTCCTCATCGCTGAAGGAAATATCGTAGGAAGAAATGGGCGAGCGGGATGTGGAAGCATTGTACAAGAACATAGGAGAGGTGCTTGTTTGATACGAAGAATAGATACAAAAAAATTTTTTTTTCTTTTTTCCTTAGAGCAAATTATTATGCTTTGGTTGATATTGTACCTAACTGGTATGGCTTTCAGAATTTAAATGATGTGTTTCATCCTTGGAAGGTCTCTTGGAGGCAAAAAGCACAGGTAGAATAATCCCATTTAAGAATAATTCTAAAGAGAAAAGAATTTGAGTCCCTTGGATCTTTTGACTTTTGTTCAGTTGACTTCCATGGGTGGTATAGATGAATATTTGAAACTTAGTACTATATGGAATGAAGGATTAAGGATGTATAGCTGCTTTAAAAATGTCTAGTGCACTCATAAAACCATGTGTGGAGAGTGATGGTGTACATAAGTTGAATTGGATGGAGGAAATCTGTTTTTCTAGAAATTTTCATTACAGTCCGATTGGGGAGGAAGGTAAGATGCACGGTAAAACTGTGCTTTGAGCCATTAATAGCCACTCAGTACATACTTAACAAATTGTACACCCATTTGGAGAGATTAAATGATCAGATTTTAAATTGTTGTATCAGTCTTACAGAATTTCTATGTATAGTCCACTGAAATGATCTTTATATTTGCCATTTCTGTGGCCACACTAAAGAGTTTTAAAATGTGAAGGAAAGGAAACCAATTTTCTAAATGACTAAATGAATTAGAATTCAGTATGTATATAGCACCAAGCTAATCTCTCAAAGTATAAACTAACACCCCCCCATGCCCCCCCCACCCTTCCTAGGCAGAATTTGTGTCATAGAAACAAAGGCCTCCTCTTTATTAGATCATTCCTCTTGTACCTCATAGGCTCTTGACCTGAATGAGAACCTCTAAGAAAACTTTATTTTTTCCATAAAATGTTCAGTGTTTTAATGTTTCTTTGACAGGGAGCACTTTGAAGCCTAAAGGTTGAACTCTGACTTTTCATAGAAGTTTTAAATTAAAACTAAGCTTGACATTGCCACTCTGCTCCCATCCTTAAAACCAGTGCACCTGTAGGTGCTATTCATGAGAAATGCAAGAGCGTATTCAGCATTACTTATTAAATGAGTCATGGAATCACAAGTGAAATCATTCTCAATATCTACACTAAATGATGTGTGCCAATTTTATGAGCAATATAATAAAAATCCAGTACAGGTAGTCCTCGACTTACAACGGGGTAACTTATGTCAGGATAAACCCATTGTAAGTGAAAAGCCCTGTAAGCCGATAATGCATTTAATACACCTAACCTACTGAACATCATGGCTTAGCCTAGCCTACCTTAAACGTGCTCAGAACACTTACATTATCCTGCAGTTGGGCAAAATCATTTCACTGCCATTGCTCAGCTTCACAAGAGAGTATTGTACTATGTATCACTAGCATGGCAAAAGACCAAAATTCGAAGTATAGTTTCTCCTGAATGCATGTTGCTTTTGCACCACTGCAGTCAGTCATGTCAGGGAAAGGCTGTATAGGGAAGTACCTGTGATTACCCTTGGAATCTGCTCTTTGGATTGTGAAATATTAATAGCACTGGATTGATACAAGGCTTGCATATTGATCTCAATGACCACGATTTATTTTTCCAATATGCGAGAGTTATCTATGTGTACAATACCCTGGACATGTAATAAGAACTCAGTGTGCTTTCTTGTATGGTTCCGATGAGTCAGCACCACTTAGCAAAGATGGTAGTGATTCAAGCAAGGTTTGGGAATGGACCAGCTGGCTTTCCAGGTCTCTTCTCACCCTAAGACTCCCCAACTTTGAATTCTAAAGAAGGGCCACCTGCGTCGTGACATTTAGTTGACAGACACTTCCACACAAGAAAAGTTGTCCCCAAAACATCATAAAGAAGTCACCTGAGAATGCAATCAAAACATTTAAAATCCCAATTCATTGGAAAGACATTGCCCCCTAATTTAAGCATATATGCTTATATGAATGTTTCACATTCAACACAGTCCCTGAGCTGGTGGTGATTTCTAGTGAGAGTCAAAATGAGATAAGTCTCATTGGCTAGTTTCAAACTTTAGGGTACAGCAGAATCACAGGTGGCTGGGCCCAATCCCCAAGGTCTCTGATTCCCCAGTAGATGGCAGGCTGAGGCCCAAGAACTGGAATTTCTGCCAAGTGCCCCAGCGATGTTGATGCAGGTCTGTTATGGGACCGCACTTGAGAACCAGTTGGGATTTTGGAGAGAATCAGAGACTTTCCCAGGTACCTGATTTGAGTCATGCTTTTCATATGGTTTCCCTAGCTGCTTGTAACTCTCTGGCCTTCTTCCAGGGAGAGAATGTCGGTAAAAATGCCAGGCTGTGCATTTGTATAGTGGGGTTGAGGGAGTTGACTTGCCCAGTTTTTTACTCTTCAGAGGGAATCCATTTCCCTTCCTCTCTCTAAAGAAAAGTAAGTGGTAGTAGAAAGAAAAACTAGACAAAAAAGAAAAGGAGATCCCATCCCCCCCTCCTCCACCACCACCACAAATAAAACACACATAGTTTGAAATGCTGGAACCCAAAGGACTATGACTTTAACCTCACATGGTGATGAGACAGGAGGAGCACAGGCATGGAATCTCTTGGAAGTGAGGAAAGGCACACACATTCCCTCCGAATGGCTTCAGTGTTTTCAGTCCAGGCTTTGAGAAACTGTTTGGAATTAGTTTTCAGCCTCCTGTTTGCCCAACCAACATAAAAAGAGAATGCTTTTGTAGCACTATTGCATTTTGATAAGCTCACTAATGTTCTTCTTTGTAAAGGAGACGTCATATTTTCTTTTCTGCTCCATGTTCACTTGGAGGCAGTTTCTTATTTGATGTGGTCCTTATATTTTGCTTTGATATTTATTACATTTTCTACTTCAAAACTTCATATTATGAGGTGTTTATTTTTATACCAGGCATAGATTCTTTAAGAATGATTAATGTTACAGATACACCGTTAGCTCCTGTCTTCATTGAACTTCCTGAGGAAAGCGTCAGAAAAAACTTACTTGCCATTTGTACTTAAGAGATTAAAATTTTCAGCACTTATGCTGTGGGTGTGTGGTAGCCAAAAAGTAAACCTGAATAACCTGGTATGCTTTTATGTTTATGTTTTTTTTTAGTTTTTTTCCTGTGTTGTCTAATAAATATATTAGATATGTGGTTGAGTCTGTTATATATTCTCTCTCTCTCTCTCCCCCCCCCTCCCTCCACACTGGAAAAAAATCTCATGATGTTGCTGTAGGAATCCTTTAGGAACTCTAGGTCATCTTGGCTACTCCAATTTGTACCAATGCCACAGAGAACACCTGAGAACTTATTTTCAGAAAACTTATATGCTTGCTTCTTGGGGTATTACATTATGTTTCTTGGCCTCAAGCATTTTCCAGGCTGTTTTCTTATATGTCATGTAGATGTAAGGAGGAGAAAAAAAAATGTGTCCAAGTAAAACCACCTTTTGAAAACATCTGTCCTGGTGTCAGGTTACAATTAGGAGGCATTGTTAACATTGGTTTAGAGTCCTTGCAGCATAAAGTTCTGGGAAACCTCATGTTTTAGACTTTATGTACCCATTTTTATCCAGTTCTTTATTTACCATGTGACTCAATGAGAAGAGTTAGTATGTGCCTGTGTTTTCTGTGGACTCGTGATAAGTTGCTGATTTAAAATTTCATTTTTCCACCTTTGACATAGACACACATGTAAGTTACTTTGTGACATAGATTTATTTTCATTGACAAATGATCCGAGATGCTGAATTCCCCAAAAGAAATCCATTTTATATACAAGCATGTTTTCTGATTTAATTTCGTGATTTGTTTTTGTTTTTGTTTTCAGATTTGCCTGAAAAGCACTCAGTTATGTAATTACTGAAAACGCTTTTTTTCTTCTTTTTTCTTTTTTTGTTTGTTTTCTGTTTAGAATTCTTCAAAGAACTACTTGAAAATGCAGAGAAATCCCTGAATGACATGTTTGTGAAGACATATGGCCGCTTATACATGCAAAATTCTGAGCTATTTAAAGATCTCTTCGAAGAGTTGAAGCGCTACTATGTGGTAGGAAATGTGAACCTGGAGGAAATGCTAAATGATTTCTGGGCTCGCCTTCTGGAGCGCATGTTCCGCCTGGTGAACTCCCAGTACCACTTCACAGATGAGTATCTGGAGTGTGTGAGCAAGTACACCGAGGAACTGAAACCCTTTGGAGATGTCCCTCGGAAACTGAAGCTACAAGTTACTCGTGCATTTGTGGCAGCCCGCACTTTTGCTCAAGGCTTAGCAGTTGCAAGAGACGTAGTTAGCAAAGTCTCCGTGGTAAGTGCTGTTTGCATTCTGTGTTTTTGTTTCGTTTTGTTTCATTTTAAAAGAAAGTTTGGGAGAGTTAGAGAAATAAATCAGAATTCCTTTGGCTCCGTAGCAATCTTCTCTTTTCGATTCTTGGTTTTCCCTCTTCTCTCCTATACTTTCTTTTTATACATGTACATTCTATGGTTATAAACAATACTATGACGAACATCTTCACATATCATTAGCAATCTTTTCAGTGGCTTCTTTTGGTAGCTATTCTTAGAATCGGAATGCGTGCTCATTTTAGAACCTTAATTTAATGGGTTTAATACCTCCATACTCTGTTTCAGCCCCTGTTCTGCTTCGCTCCAGAGAAAGAAACACACACACAGGCTCCACATTAGGTTGTTTTGAGTGACTATGTTTGAGTCTACTTGTTAGAGTCTAGAAAAGCATTTAACATCCATTACTAGATGTTTCCTTGTTATAAGGTGTACCCAGAGCTCTTAAGAAGCCAGAGCTTTCTATAATAATTAATGTGGACCACCTGCTCTTCACTTATGGCTTTGTGTATAGAATTACCAATAGAGAAAATGAAATTGCTATATGTGGGCAAGAGCAGATGAAATGAGCCACATTTTCCTCATTTGTAAATTAAAGGAATTGGACTAGACCAATATTTTTCAGACTATATTCTTTGGAGCCAGTGAAGGAGGTCCTTCAGGGACCTCCTTGAGTAGAGGTAAGGGAGACGTGCGTCTTCTAGTGGGTAAGACTGTGTACCTGTGACTTTACTTCCTGGCTGCACCAGAAAAGCTTTGCTTTCCTCAGTTTTATGCAGTAGGGTTTTGAGAGATGTCAAGAGGGGAAAGTTCTGTGGTTCCTTTACTGTCATCTCCCTGACCCCCGTCCAAAGTTGAAAACTTCTTGAAGGATTTTCCACTTCTACCTTTCTTTCCATGGCTCAATACCAGTGAAGAAATCGAATATACTGGGGCAAAGTTATCTTTGCAAGACTGATCTTATAGTGCTTTTACCTTTAGGCCCTCAAGGGAAAAGTCAAATTAGTCCATTTCTGAAAAGTCCGGACATGCAACCACATCACCTTCTACTTAGGTCATTTGATTATTTGGAGAACTAGAAGAAGGGTCCAAATAAAAACTGGACAGCAATACAAACATTAAAATATTAACCTGATTGCCTATCAGAGAGTTCTTTTAGAGTTAAAGTGACCGTATAATGTATTGTCCAAACCGGGACCCTTGTTGTCTAAATCAGGAGGTGCATATTAACAATCATATCCAGACAACATGTGCCGCTAATTTTTAATAAGCCACCAGCACTGTCCTGGGCAGACCAGGATGCAGAGTCACCCTAGTTAGAGGGTAAACTTAGATTCACCAGAGTGAAGGTAGAGATTTTAAAGAATTGTGTGTTATAAAAAAATAGATGCTAATAAAATTAAAAAACAAAAAGAAAAAAAAGAAAAAAATAGGTGCTTATGGGATATTTCATATTAGAATTGGATGAAAATAAGGATTTGTTGATTGGTTGCATTCATTATTATAGTTTTGTTTGTTCTCTCATCTCTAGGCCAGAAAATGTCAGGAGACAATTCTTCCCAGCATGTTTTTATTCACTCTTTTTCCTCCTGATATTTTCATTGTAAATTGCAAAGCATTGTTGGGCATATGAGGGAGGGTGGGTGGGAGCAAGTGGAGAGATGATGGTTATAATTGAAGGAATAATCTGGTTCCTGAACTTCTGCCAGCCCCAGCAAGCATTATTAATCTTGGACTTGCTGATGTCAGGGTCCCTAAACAATTCACAGTTAATCCAGATCAGTTATTTACATTGTACTTCACCGAACACATTTGCCCTCCTGTAACAATTCCTTGTGTTCGTCCTAAGCTGGATAGGTGGAAAGGCACTGCTGTGTGGTTTGCATGTCTGCCTACATGTGCACGCACACTCATGCCGAAGGGAAAGGTGAGGAGAAAGTCCCTTGCAAATGTTTGAAAAGTGGTTTATTTACGTTAACCACCCGCCTTCATTTGAGTTGATTCTTAGGAAGGACGAGGCAGGTGGCTCAACCCTGTCTTGTTGCTAACCTTACTTTGCGATGTTGGAAACCCCCCCTAACCCCCTTTAGGGAACTGAGAGTCCAGAAACCCCAACTTGGGGTGGAGGGTGGTGGATGAAGCAAGGAAGCAGTTTAGAGACAATTCACCGAAGGTTAAAAAGTTGAGGGTTAGAAGGCCATTGTCCACATCACCCCACCTCCAAAGGTTAGGCAGAAGGAAGCAGTTGTGACTTCCCTGTGTTTCGTTCTTCACATGTTTTCATAATTAGCGGTGGGATATCAATAAGATTGACTTTTGTGTTCACGATTTAAACACGCTTCCATATGCAATAAAGAGTATGTGATCCAAAATGAAATAGTCACAATTTCTGATGTTCCTTTAGGTGTGATTTTTTTTTAAGCAAGGAAGAAATTTCCCCATGTACCTTAATATTGCCAAGTTGTTTGAGAAAGTTACTTTCTTTTTTTTTTTTAAAGATTTTTATTGGGGGAATTGGGGGGATGGGAACAGCCCTGGTGAATTGGGGGAAGGGGAACAGACAAGTTGCTGTCCTTTTGTTCTTCAGTCTAGTTGTGGAGGACGTCGCTTCACTGGCCCAAGTTGGCACCATTATTGCGCTCTTCCCGCGAGGCAGATCAGTCGCCGGCTTCTGGACGGCCGCTCACTGCGGCTGCTGGCCGCTCATGCTGGCTGCTGGCTACACACGGTAGCCCATGGCAACCCACTGCCACAGGGGCTGCAGCCTACGCCGTCGCCGGCGACTCACGGCAGCCCAGCTCCAGGTTGAGCTGTTGTTCAGCATCTTAGCTGTGGAGGGCAGTGTCACTGGCCCTCATATGTGGGATCCGAACCGGGACCCTCTGGCATCCCAAGCGAGTTCTTAACCATCGCGCCACTCGGCCGGCCCTCAAATCAGTTTTTAAAAGTGCTAAAACACATAAAAATCTATCATCTATGTGATGTTTCTGTTTAGAAGAAGTATGCAAGGAATACTTGCGCATTTTTGAGAAATACTCCTTACATTAATTTTGGGAGAATGACTACCAATTAAATGTATTTTAATTTAAGGTACAGTGGTATGGGGAAGATAATAAACGATCTGGCTTTCAAAACCATTTCAAACTGAACACGTTCAAAAATCTACATTTGATTAATAAAATAAATAAACTTTTCTCCCAGTTAGGGTACCCAAGCAGTGTTGTTTCATATGGATTTCCACTCCTGTCACCTGGTGTCCCAAGTGTAGTTCGCAGATGAAACTAGAGAAACCTAAGAAATAAACATTCCTTCTTTTGGTGTCCAGTAGAATTAGTTACCTTGGGCCTGAAAAAGACCTTTGAGAGTGGAGAATGTATTTCCTAATTAAAGAGAGCCACCTCACTGACTTCATCTACAAAGGGGTCTTTAATTTCAAATATGAAAAGCATCGTGGTCTTGCGCTAGTTATTGGATACTTAACTCAGAGATGTTCCCACTTTCTCTTCGTGAGTGGATGCCCTGCTTTTCCAGTTTACTTTTTCAACAAAAGAGTTGTGGTTATACGTTGAGCAATGACTTGGTTATCATTAAGCTTTTTAAAGGCCGTTAGCACCAGCAAGCTTAATTTGCTTCAAGAGAAAGTCACTTCTTAGTTGAAGTGTACTTGCCTTTTTAAAGTTTTTCTGGGCCCAAAACATCGAGTGATTTCGGCTTACTCCATTGAGCTTTACAATTCAAACTACAGAAAAGTCCCTTTAATTAGTAACAGATGGTTCGAGAATATCCTGGTGCTACAAATCTTTGTATTACTTATTCCATCTTTACTTGTCATGGTTCATGATACATTTCTTATTTACCTGCTTATAGCAGCAGTTTTGCCTGGAAGGGTGAAGTCTGTTGTGGTCTTTCAAAAATGCACAAGTGGTTACATGCGCCATGAAAATTAATAGCTCCTATGCCAAAGAGAGTTGCATTCTCATGGTTTCAATTAACACTGACATAATGGGACTATGTCTACACCCCTACCTCAAACTATAGGGACTATAATTAGAAATCAGTGCCTTACCATTGTGATGTCTGAATTACTGTCCTGCCTTGAAAAGAATTTCCATTGTTCCGCCTTCATTTCTGTCTATTCACAATGCCCCAACACCTACAAGAGTACTACACAAATTATTTTGCCACTTTCTGGAATCATTATAAATATAAATTTTATAAATGGTCAATGGAAAAAGCTTTAAAGAAGCAAAGTATAGACATTTATGTAACCCTTAATATTCTTTTTCACTCACAACCTAAGAACTGGAATTGCAAGAGGAAAGTGGGACTCTAGCTGTAGTGGGGTGGAGATGGTGATGATGGGAGTGTGGGAAGCACCAAGGACTGAATAAATTGAGATGATATATACTCAAAACAAAAATAAGAGCCTTCTACAAGGGGCCGTGGTTAATACAGTGATGCTTTGACTTCTAGGTTATAACTGAGACCAATAATTTAAAACAAGACATATTTCAAGTATTTATGCAGCTTCAGTTGTGTCTACAATGTATCTACAAACATTCTTGAATGAATCCTAGCTTATTCCGTATATTTTGTTAATGTCTGTAGTGTTTTATTTTCGGGGAAATAGTTAGGAACGTCTCAGCCTCCTTTCTTTGTGTGTGCATTGACTTCAAAACTAGTTAGGGAGTTGTTGAATCAACTCATCTCATCTCGGCACGTATTTGGGTTCCCTACCTCTTTTACCATAATTTTGGGAACTATTTCCTGTTATTTTTATTGGGTGCTTATGTGACCGAGCAACAGATAAAATCTAGACCTTTTCTGTTTGTTTGGTACTGTTGGCTATGCAAGAAAAAAAAATGTTGCTGCGAATGTATGTTAGGAACTGGAATAAACTAAAAAGAAATGTGTTTTTAACTTCAGTGCAGCATGTTGACTGCCATCTCTGTGAATGTGGCTTGA